GTTAACCAGTACTTCGACTTCGCTATTAAGGCTAAGAACGATGCATGTAGTGTCGACAATCGGTGTGACTCTGAGTCATTCAGTCGCCGTGATTTCTTCGAGAAGGACTACACCGAGCACGACTGCAGCCAAGCTCATCAATGCTTCAACAAGGATACAGTGTTGGAAGATCTACTCGTGTCCACAAAGACCAAGACGAACCCTCTACTGGAAGAAGACAATAGCTGCGATAACACTGATGCACCTGTGTCTATTGGGCAGTGCACCAGGTGCTGCAAGATGCACACTGCGCTTAAGGAATGGTGGACGGACTATCGTTGTGGCTCAGATTACGACGCACGCAACTGCGAGGGTGACAGTGATCAAACCTGTGACTTCAAGCAGTGTCTAGTGATGAACGGCGATACTTTGGCGACGGTGACTGCCTCAATCACTGAGGATGCCAAGAAAGAATCAGAGTCTGTGTTGGCTCAGGTGGAGGACGAAGCGTACCAAACAGTGACGCAAATTCATCGCTCATTGGACTGCACGTCTTTCGGTGGTACCGATGGAGAGTGCGAGTTCAGAGCAAAGTTGTCGGAGCTTATCGAGACGACGGAGACGCTCAATGTCGCCTCAACTTACAGTTCTGGCCAGGCTACAGACTATGTCTTCTGGCGGTACAAACTCGTCTCAGACGGTGAATCCTGGCAGTTGTGGAAGACTGGCAAACAAGAGAACTACGGAGAAGTGACGTACGATAACGACGACGTGCTGACGTTCGCGAACCCGGAGACGAAGATCACTATCGAAGCCTGGACGCAGTGCGGTCTAGTCCGTCGCTTCTTCTTCTACGTACACCTTCACGTCAACAGTCCCGTGAGTGTGTGTGAAAAGTTCAACGACATGTGGTACCAGACGTCCGTGTCGAGACTACCGATCGGCTCTGGCATGTGCGCCTACCCTGGTAGTGACTTTGCCGAGCTGACGTTCGACTTCCACCCGAACGCTGGTCTTCAGTATTCTCGTGAGGAATTGAGGATGAAGGTGTCCAAGGTTGAGTGCACAGGAGCTCTGGAAGGCCGTAAGCCGATTGATATCTTGAGTGTGACTCAAGACTCCCCTGAAATCGTGACCCGGTTCGCTGTCGCGATGCTGAACAAAGCCACAACTGAAGCCGCGACGGATTTCCACGTGGAGTGTGTGTTCACGTACGCTAAGTACAGTGGAGCGTCTGCCACCGAGACGTGCAAGCGTGACTTCTCCATTTCAGACTGTAAGGGTCCAGCGTTTGATACACCGAACTCTGTGTGTGAGTATGAAGCGTGTGCTGGTCAAGATGAGGCTGGACTGTATGAGGCATGTGGCGGCACTGTAGTGAAGGCTGATGATAAGTGCACTATCGTAGAGACTGGAGAGAAGCCATGTTGCCAGGGATGTGAGAACACGGAGGTCACGTGTGTAGCTCTTCTGGATCTGCCGAATACCAACGCAGATATCATGCGGTGTGAACCGAGCGGAGGCGGTGGTGCCTACTCGAGTCCTAGTACCAGCTACGGTGCTGTG